CGTTTTTCCTGACCATATTTTTCATTCGCAGGATTGTAATGGAGATGGAAATATCGATTGCGACGACTTCCTTCGAATTCATCGATTAGGTGGTTACGGATGCAGCGCGCCTCTGAATGCTAAATACGAAAATGCATACAAACTTTGCATGAAAACGTATAACGTGTAATCGACGAAATCCAACCGACTTACGCATTAAGAAACATTATTTTATACACTTTTATTCCATAAAAAATTAACTAACTCGATAAAGTACCAACTAACATTTGATATTCGATTTAAAACAATAGTCGTAAATGCAAGTGTTTGCATATTATATACCTTAATCGTTTCAAAATTTAATTTTCGTTCCATGCGAAACTATTATTTTGTCCACTAATTCGGCTCTCCTTTTCAAAGTTACTTCTTTTTCGTTTAACGTACCAGACGAATCTATATTTTTTATTAAAAAATATTGTATGAATAAACGAAGACTTTCTCTAAACGTTTGCAGTTGTGGAGAAATGGATATTCTTTCAAAGGTTTGCAAACAAACTTGCTCGTTTTTATGTAAAAGAATACCTAGTATAATTTCTCTGAGAAGTTTCATGGTGTATCTATCTAGTTCTGTAAATTGAATAACCTGTAATAAAATTCGATTATCAGACTTATCGCGCACTTAATAATGTTATATACGTTGCATGATAGAAAGTACAATATTTACTTTTAAAACTGACAAAGCGAGGCATTTTTCGGTGAATAAGTATGTTAAAAATCGAGCTAGATTGCTCAATTGCTTTCTTCCGTGTGTATTCAAAGACTTCAATTTATCCCACAACGCATATTGCAATGTAAGCTGAAATGTTATTGGTAACTTAAATCTCGATATACACGATTGCGTGTGTCTGTTTATAAAATCGTGAAGCTATACCTGATACTTTCGATTATATTCGCAGAATTTTTGAGCTAATACGGCATAGTAAGGATTAAACTTGTTTTCTTGCAAGCAACAATGTATTAAAACATGTATGATTTCATCTTCCTGTTGGTCCTTCAAACCTAGGTGATGAAGATTTTCAAAAGCGTCTACGTAATCTTCGGCTGTCATGAGAATGCAAAAGATATTTCTTCTTGTATCGGTGTTCATTCGTTGCTTCTCCGCTAGCTCAAGTATTTTTTTACCGAAACGAAATTTATTTTCCTGTTTCACCTTGTCTTGATTACTCGTCATGTTCGATCCAACCCAAGCAGAACCAACGATCCACCATTTTCCATTTTCATCGGCTGTACAAGAACCAACGAAGTATAGATTTTCTTATTTTCTTTTCTTATACGTTATAGTCGATCCAGATACGAATAAATCATGTTTACCGTGTAATAAGTCCTCCAAGGAAACATTGAATTGCGTTATAGTATTTCCTTTGCGTATTACATTTTTTATAACTTTCTTCAAATGCTCCACATGCGAAGGATCGTATTGTGGTATTTTACTAATATTATTATTCTTTATTGCTAACAAAACATCCAACAGAAATCTAAATCTTGAGCTGCATAGTAACAACATGTTTTAAATTAAACATTTATACAAATTTTAACTCTTCTTCAGAATTTAAGACTTACCTCTGCTCGTTTTTATGACTAGCTATTTTTTGTAAATTTTGTATAAATTCTTTTAAAGCAATTGGATCATCTTTTCGTAGTACAAAACCTACTGTTCTCAAAATAAGCAATATCAAATCAATTTCTTTCTCTGTAAATTTAGTTGTAAGTCTATCGAGTATCTGATAAAGAAGTTTATATCCGTATACCTGCATTAAATTTGAAGAAAAAAATATTTACTTACATTTATCCGTACGTAAAAGAAGGGGGAGTATTCTGAATATAAAATTTTAGCTTTGTGTCTGCAGACACAACCGATACAGTAATCCAAAGAATTTCAGTGATCAAAATTAAAAATGTAATAAAAAGAATATTATATATACATATATATAATTGCTCAAAGTTAGAATCTTATATTGAGAATCCTCCCTCTAATGGTTGGGTTGTACTGTATTGTATCGTAGCTAAAACTGTTTCACAAAATTACTGTACTTTAAAATTATATAGGTGTGAGATCATCAGAATCACATTATCTAATTCTTTGTCCTCAACATTCTGTGAGACATCCATAATTTCAATAAATTTTTTTACAAGTTTTTCTAAAAAATGTGCTCCAATTTCGATCCCAATGTTAGCATGTAAAATAGCAATCAACATCATATATTCACAAATCAAACGATTTGGAGTAAGCACACGTGCAATTACAGCCTCAAATATTAAATTCGTTAACAAACAGTTCATATCATTGCGACCATTAGTCAGATACAGTTCTTCTATCTGCAACACATAGGTCATATTAAGAAATGAAGTTATCGATTCAGGGCTTGTGTTGCACATTAAAACAATCAATTACCTGATTAGTTATGATATGCATATTCTGTTCAGCTATTCTATTCAAACAGCCTTTTAATTTCCTTTTTAGAAAAAGTAATTTCTCATTGTCCTTATTTATCGCATTATTTGCATTAACCTCTGTATCACGGAATGTATATTTATTATGCTCATGTATAATATTACCCTCTCTATCTCGTTTTCGTCCATATATATCTTCCCAGATGTTATTATCTGTGTCATCAATATTATTACACATTTTGTCCTGCTTAGTATCCAATTTTACTTTATCAATTTTTAATCTATTTAAATTATTATTTCGTGAAAAACATTTCGGTGCATGCGTAGAACTATCGCTATCATTTCTATTTTCTTCGTCGTCTCTTTCCATGGTTTCCGTATCAGTTTCTTCAAGTACCATAGATAAATCTGTTTTAAATTCATTATTATATTTATTCTCTACAAGCTCTTCCTCTGCATCTACTATACATTTTCTATCTTCTTGGAGACAAAAATCCAAAATATCTATACAAGTGTTAAGGAGATTTATTTATGCAACAGATAATGTATCAACTTACTAAAAATACAACATGAAATCTCACTTTAAAAAGTATAAAGTCCAAAAAGTTTACTTATCAAATAGAATAGAAAAAGGATACAATCTAAACCATCTGTTTTAAAAGATTTAGGAATTGTTGTTTTCTTTTTCTTATTCATTTTGAGCTGTTTTTCTAACTTTCTAATCATTTTGTCCTCTTTCTGATTTGCTTTCGTAAGAAATTCATTTTCTTTATTTTTTTTCTTGCGCTCATGCACTTCTTTTTCCTTCTTCTTAATAAATTTAACTTGGAAATCGTTTACGACCTCGTCGTTGGTATTGTCATTATCGACATGTGTGTTGGCATGCTGTCCTGAAACACGTAACTCATTCCTCTTTTTAAAATGATTTGCTTTACTAATTTTCTTTTGTTTCCTAAGCTCTTTGCGGATTTGTTTACGTGACTTTTGTAATGATGTCGATTTATTTTTTGGATTTAATCGTTTAAACGAACCCATTTTCTATAGTGTAAAATAAATTATCAATTTCTGTGAAATTTCAAAAGAAAACAATTTCTTGGAAACTTATTTTTTATACAAGCGTATAAACTATAACGAAACATAACCTGTCTTCGTGATTTATTTCATGAGCAACACGTGCTGCGAAATCGACGAAAATCCTATACGTCGAAATAAGAAGTTCCACTCTTATGTTTCGATATTCAATGATGTAAATTGTATCTTGAAAAATAGAGGACCATTTATTCAATCTTTGCTGTGATATTCTCAGTTTCAACCTTTGTAATTACCGTTTAATTTGTTTGTATGTAAATCGGTAATCGATAAATCTATAATGCCACTTATGATAAAATATTTAAGGTACAGATAGCCGATTACAACCACGGTGTTGTCCCGAAATGGCACACAATTAAATTAGTTGAGTGAAGTAAAATACATAGTTTGTAATTGCAGTATTAGTTTGTTGTGTATTTTTCACCTTAAAATATAACTGCATTAGAGTGGATTTTCATTTAAATTGCAATCCCTCGAATGTATATATTTTAACTGTTGATACATGTAGATAGGTACGTAGATCTGTATTCGCTTACATCCACAAGAGGGTAGTTGAAAAGGTTGTTTCTTGGAAGATCGCTTTTCACTTTTAAACGGTGGAAGTTGGGAAGTCGATGTAAATGTTTGAAATTTTGACGAAACATTAACATGTATCTAATGATGAAAGCGTCACGTAGTTCTGTATTAATTAACCTTAAAAAAAGGTACTATACATATATATATATTTCACTACTTATATTTCAGTTGTTTGTTTAAAAATATACACTTGTACAATTCAAGTTATCTAGTGAACTTAATTATACGAGTTTAATAAATATATTAAACGTAAATGATCCTTCTTTCAGCGTGATGCAAAGGCAGGCATTTCCTTTGTTTAGTAAATGCAGCTTTTCTTCTCAAAAGGTGTATAACAATAAAATAACTCGTGAATCGGTTATTATACCATTTCCTCCATTGACTCAACCTATACCTAATTTACCTAAAGCAGTCTATGCTACTGCAAAGGAGGAACATCAAACGACTAAAGTAACAGTTTTACCGAATGGATTAAGAGTTGCTTCTGAAAATCGGTTTGGTCAATTTTGCACAATTGGAGGTGAGTGGTAAAGATCTTTTGACAAATTTTATATAATTTTCTAATTTTCAATATAAATTATTGCCTTACAGTGTTACTCGAGTCTGGTCCTCGATTTGAAATTGCATATCCTAGTGGAATCTCTCACTTTCTGGAGAAATTAGCATTTGGTGTAAGCTTTGCGATACGTATTAAAAAGTTATTTTTAATGAAATAAAATTTAAAGATTTACTATTGCAGTCTACAAAAACATACGATAGCAAGGATGAAATAATGTTGGCATTAGAAAAGTATGGTGGTATATGCGATTGTCAAGCATTTAGGGATACATTTGTTTATGCTGCTTCGGCTGAGCGCAGAGGAATAGATACAGTTGTGCAAATATTAAGTGACATTGCGTTAAGACCCAAAATAACAGAAGAAGAAGTAAGAAAATATTGTATTTTAAATAATCACTTAGATTACATAATCATACAAAATATTATCTTCAGATTCAAACTATCTGCAAAAAGGAGACAATAACGTTATTAATATTAAACTATTATTTTTAGTTAGTTACAGCAAAAACAATGATTAGATTCGAATTAGAATCTTTACTTACAAGACCGGAGCAAGAATCGATACTTATGGATATGATCCATGCGGTAAGTAAAATATAGAATTTTTTATATCATAAATATTTAATAATATGTACGTATCTGTATAAATTTGTGGTTTAGGCTGCGTACAGAAGCAATACTCTTGGTCTTCCAAAAATATGTCCGGAAGAGAACATTGATCGCGTAGACAGAAAAATATTATTAGAGTATTTGAAACATCATTATACACCAAAGAGGATGGTAGTGGCTGGAGTTGGCGTGGAACACGAACATCTGGTCTCTGCAGTTCAAAAGTAATGAAAACTATTTATTAAAATCGGTCACAAAATCTTGTTACAACGATTGTAATTAATTGAAAAACTGTTAATTATAATCTTTTGATTCTATGAAGCTTAAAATCTAACACTCGGTTTGAATAAAAATGAAAATTTTCAAATCAAGGTTAACATTCCTATTGTTTTAGACATTTCGTTGAGAATAAAACTATTTGGGAAGAAGAAGAAAGAGAAAAGAAGAATAACTTGGTATCCTCGGAAAAAGAAAAACTATTAAATGCAGTTGACACGTCTATTGCTCAATATACCGGAGGCTATATATTAGTTATTATCTACAGTTACACACGCATATGCATATATTAAATTGACATATTATGTCAATTTAATATAAAAAGACACCAGAATAAATAGGATTGTATCTAAATGATGGGAAATTACAATTTTTCAGGAGGAATGTAACATACCCGTCTACGCAGGGCCGAGCGGTTTACCAGAATTATCTCATGTAGTAATAGGTTTGGAAGGTTGTTCGTATCAAGACCCGGATTTCGTAGCAATGTGCGTTTTAAATATGATGATGGGTGGAGGTGGCAGTTTTAGTGCTGGTGGGCCAGGCAAAGGAATGTATACGCGTTTGTATACAAACGTGCTTAACAGGTAAAGTCTGAAAGATGTTTTCTTGATCCAGGAACTGTTTCAACTAAGAAAAGAATCGTCACAGAGTGTCGTCATATTGCAGGTATCACTGGTTGTATAGTGCTACTGCATATAACCATGCATACGCTGATACAGGACTCTTTTGTATTCACGCATCTTGTACACCGTCTCACGTTAGAGAAATGGTAGAAGTTATCGTGCACGAGATGGTTGCTATGACTAGTAATATTACAGACAGCGAGTTGGCGGTATGATTTTATTACAGCATAGTTTTCATTGATACGTCTTTGTATTTAGGTTTATCGCAATGAAAATCAATTAATTTATTCATTTATAAATCAGAGAGCAAAGAAACAATTGCAGTCTATGTTACTTATGAATTTGGAACAAAGACCCGTTGTCTTTGAAGATATCGCACGACAAGTTTTAGCTACTGGATCTAGAAAACGGCCAGAGTACTTCATACAAGCAATCGGTAAGCAACACGCCAATAGAATCATTAGAATTATTAGAACGGTAAAAGTCATTGTTCGCGTATTGTTTGTAGATGCTGTGTCGAAAGATGACATACACAACGTAGCACGGCGTTTACTCAAATCACCTCCTTCTGTAGCAGCTAGGGGAGAGGTAAGAGCGGTGCCGCCTATCGGAGATATTCAGGCCGGATTAACTGACGAGCAATTGATAACTAATTATCATTTTTTTGGTAAAAATTAAAATATTTTTCGTCTCAGATTCATGTGCTTTTTCTCTTCGACGATATTTCTCTAGACGGATCGTGTTAATGAAATTCAAATTATCCCTCTTTATTTTCGAATGAAAATCAAAACATATTCTCAATTATTGAAAATGGACATTTCATAGTTTCAACTTTCTGTAGTTCACGATCAAAGAATGTTAGTCCGTTTCACGGTGTGTGTTATGTATGGATTCAATCTCGTTATTCGAACAAACGTGTACATAGTACTTAGGAATATCATTTCTTCTATAATAAATTCACTACCACTCGAACATATTAGAGTATGCTATCGATATGCCGCAGATGCAAACGAAGAAAGCAAGACTTTCTATAATATTTTAATAGTGGCAGCGAATGTATTAAATTGATGTGAAATAAAGATGACAGGGTTTCGATGTCTGTCACGTTTTTCTGTCGAAAGTTTTGGAGTTAGTCTGTGTTACAATTATTTATTCAAATAAAATAATTGATTTTAAACAATTTATAACAACTTTAATTTAAATACAACAATAAATATAAGAAAAGTTTTTTATTCGATATTCTTTTATTTCTGTTTTATAACCTTTTCCTTGCAGTTGTTGTTTATTATGACAATTGTAATGGAAAATTTGCACGCTCCAGATACAACAAAGAAATCGAATGAAAATGATCGTCATGGAGATTAAGCCTCTGCTTCTTCCAATGTTGCAAGGAAAGATGCTTTCTTCTGCGCTACGCGGTTCTTTCTTTCTGACAAAGAAAGTTTCGCACGGTTCCATCGTTTCTTTACGGGTAGTTCTTTTTTCGTGACCTTCGTGTGTTCAGGATTTGCACGTATCGTTTCATGAGCATGTTTATAGATGCCTTCAATCTATTAACAAAAACAAAAACATATATATACTTCCAATAAAACATACATTGTAATACTTTTAATGTAACATTGGTTAATAGGAAAATAATGTAAGAATCTATACATTTACTTTCTATAACCAATGTACTTACTATGGTCCAACTGCGACACTGCAAAGACTTTAAAGCCTGAGAGTAATTATTAGTTGGACGAACTCAATATTATATAAAACCATGAGTACTTACATTGTCAGCAGAGATGCCATTTTTAATATATTGCGAAAATTGGCGTTTGAAAACTTCCTCATCCTCTTCTTCCAATTTTTTCATATAATTTGCAACATGTTGCCCGAATATATGGTACCGATGAATATCAGCATTTAAAGATTTGGACTCGTTATCGTATCCGGGAAACCTCTTGGTGCTACCCATTGAAGATAAAAGAAAATTAATGAGACTACTTACGATAACCCCATGCAAGCGTAGTATACGTGATTTTGTATTATCAGAGACACGTTTTCTAATCTTTACCGTCTGTGCAACAATCGTACAGTGTATTGTAGAACACAAAACAAAGTCACGACTCGCTATGACTCAGATGACGCGCATGTGTCATAAAATCATCATAACTTCCGTATTCGGTAAACCTTAGATCATATAAAATTTGTTAAAAGATATACCTATGTGGAATATTTAGGCCACCGTCAACAGCACCTTTCATGGCACCAAAAACTCTAGCACCTGTGGTAGTTCTCATGAGACCGGTATCTAAGTAACATCTGAATGCCCCTGGTCCTTCGTCTAATTCTTCTACATTATATTCACCACCAGTTACTTCTGTTGTACCGGTGTATAATGTATCCAAGCCCAATTTTTTTAATAACTATCCAAGAAACATTAAAACATATTGTTCTTAATCCACGCATACATACATACTATTTCAGTAGTTCAATTTTATAATTTTATCATTCAGAATCAAACAATAGGGAACAATAGTTTTCTTCAGATATGCATCAAAGCGAGCTGAGTGTTTCATCATGAAATAAAATATGTGTAACTAGATAAAAAATTAATGTTTTATAATATGAGAAATCTTACTCTTCGAGCTAGAAGGAGTCCGGTACAATATGCAGAAGCATAATTTGTAAGACCAACTTTAATGCCATACTTTGGAAGTTCATGACTGTAAGCTGCGCACACTATTCTATCTCCTTCGATTCTCGAGTATGCCACCTAATTAAATGTATAATAGACTTTATCCTAATGAAACAAGAATGTTAATAAATATAATACAAACATAGATTATTTACCTGGCATGTAATATCTTTATTCGATAGACGAACAATTAACCTATACTTTGGAGTGTTGTATTTATTCTTGTCTTGAATGGTCAATCGTTTACGGGCATAATAATCAGTCTTTCCTTCGCGTCGCCTCTTGAATTTAACTTGATAACGTTTGAAATACTGCTTGTTTTTAACAATTTTTACAAAACCCTAAAACATAACATATGGATCAAGCCATCGTACAACGATACTTGTATTTTTCAACTTTCACATAATCTTTAGCAATGTAGAGAGAAAAATATTTTCATTATTTTGCCAAAGTGAGCTACGGATATCATCGTGTAAGTTAATAACATCGACAATGAAATAGGGTGCAATAAATTTCTATTAAAATATCTTTACATTAAAACATCACTTGAAACGGAGAAATATAATGAATGATTACAATTTGAAACCGTAATAAAGGATATTACTGTTAGATAAATATGAAATTCATATTATCGGTACACAAGACCCTTATTTCGGCCATGCGTTCTGCCGCTAAACGAGTCGAGAGTTAAAGATTTGATTTTATATCCTTTAGTATCATAAACATCCAACATTTTTCACAGTGTTACATAATTCATTTGAATAATAAAAAATCTAATTTATCGAATCACGTTAATCTTAAGTTGATTTTACTCACCATTTTAGTAAAAGACACAGGAAACACTCCGCGGGATACAGAGCTCCCGAAGTTCCACGTCGGAAAAGGAAGTCATCGTGGAAGTACGGCTACTCGTGACAAAACCTGAAACTCTAAGTAGCTTATGGTCCACGACACCAGAGAGCGCTGATGTCATCTTTCGATAAATACTTAAATATAATTCGTTGTTCGGAAGAAGGCTCGCGGAAGGAATGCGAGTCCTAGTGGTTGAAATATTGTGTGTTTTCGACTCTAATATGCGATTGGTTGAAACACGAGCCACACACAAGAATTCCTTTGCGGACACGGAGCAAAACGGTTCGATCGCTATGGATGTTGTTGTTTATGGTTTCGATTGGTTACGTTTAACCGTATCGACGAATAGCAAATTAGTATCGAAAATGAGATGAGGAAAGATGAAAGCTAAATACTCGCCTATCAGGTCGTGAGGGGAAGGGCATCCCCGATGTACTACACGTTGCATCATGCGCAATGTTTTCTTCCTTTTTTAACATCTCTCGATGCATTTATTTAGTAGCCGTAATTTTCTTATTTGACGTTGAAATGAAGAAAAACGAAAATTTCTTTTCAATTTCAAGAGACGTTATAATAGTAATGATATAGTACTCGAAAGATTAGTTATCTGAACGAACATCGTACGAAATTTGATATATTAAAAAACGTAATTACTTCGTTTAATAATCTCTGTATGTAATTATTGTATATATGAACGTATGTACAATAACATTATATTTCTAGACGAGTAATATCTGTTCCACCGTGAAATTAGGCGAAATTAGACGAAATTAGACGAAATTAGACAAATAACAATAATTGTCTTATTAAAATATTTTGTTTCGTATCTTAAGGACCACGTGCATTTTGTACAAATTTTATTTACGTATTACGTTTACTTTTGGAACCTATGTAACACATATGGTTAAAATGTACTGGTTTCCTTAAATTTTTAATTCTTGAGCATCATTTATTCCCCAATCACTTAAATCTTCATCCCAACCGTCATTCTCTTCGCTTACATCAAAATCAGTTAATACTTTTATGTCGAATACACTCTTTGAAGCTATTTGTGGTTGTTGTACATGCAAAACTTGGGTCTTTTTTATTACAGGTTCCATATCTGTAAAGAAATCGTATTCTTCTTTTGTAGAATTTGCTAATTTTGAATTTTTTATATCAAGTTCTGAAATATCACATAAAACAATTGATTTCTTTGTAAATTTAGATTCAGTTATTTTAGCTTTGTTTGGATCTAATACTGGATTTGTGTCAATTAACGATGATGACTTAACAGTTGAAATATCATCGGATTCGCGAGTTCTATCGGAAGGTTCTGAAACGTTAAGGCAGGTATCCCTAGTAACAGTTTCTTGTGTGTCCCAATCAGACCAAGTATATTCTTCTTCTGTAATCGAGGAGACAATCTCCTTTTTATCTTCACCTCCATCCGGGGATGGTCTTTCTGGTAAATTAATTATGTTCTGACTAGAACTTGTAGGAGCTGGAAATTCAACAATATTTATGAAAGATGAAATAGTGTTATTATTTTGCCCATTGTCTTTTACTTTATTCGGCCGACCATCGGTAAATAATTTTCCCCTGTTTCCACCTATTACAGTGGCTGCACCAAGGATTGGCACTATATCAGCCAATGCTCTTAATGTTGCAGAAACAAGATGATCGTTTGTATCTTTAATTCCTACGAGCAGCTCGGGAAGTACTCGAGATTTTAATTCATCCGCTTGAAATGTGTGAACGTACGAATTGAAATGTGATAAAAGCACCAAACGTATCGACACATCCCTTATACAAAACATTTGTAGCAGTTTAGGTACCAGATATGCTTTAAACGTTGATACTACAAATAAATTATTATCCACGTTGTCTTTTCCATCTGTAAGCAAGGTTGTACCGATTATTTATATTAAATATCGAGTTCCATTAAACATTTTTTTACCTCTAGGTTTTAAAATGAATGGCAAAAGCTTTTCTTGAGCGGTCGAATCTAATAAAACCATCCTTGAAAGCAACAATCGACCCAACTGTTCTGCGACAATATTTTCAGGAAATGTTCTTAATTGTACTATTAAGTTTCTATAATGTGATTAAATGTTTCAATGCTCGTTAAGCTGCAGTTCCAATCAATGAGAAGAATTTCGTTTATTTATTTTCTTCAGGATGCTTACCCAAAAAATATTTCTTTCTCTTGATTGCTTTTTAATGGCAATTCCTCTAAAAATGCATGTATTCTCATAAAGTCATGAGTAAAAAATGGGTGTCGTAGAACACTCGATAGATTACTTCTTAAGCATGGATCAGTATTTTGTAAATCTTCTTTACAAAACTGTTTAAACGCTAGGAGGCTTGGCACATCTTCTGAAATAATATAATAACTTTATTACGACTAGAATTCTATGGTTAAAATAATCCAATTATTTATCGATAGATACGATTACCTGAATGCTTTAATTTCAAAATATCTTCTGCCAAAACACCAAATGCATATGCATCGATTGCTGTAAAACTAGTCGATAAGATAGTTGTACCTTCATCAGGTGATATTGCTTTCTCGTACCTGTAATTTTTTATTTTCTTTAAATAGGCAGGAGTTAATTCTTTGAATTTACTTAGGCATTCTAAACCACCAAGTTTCCAACATCCTTCTGATGTAACATAAATAACACTTCCGCAAATGTTGTTATGAGATGCGGATGCCTTTTCATGAAGAAATACAAGTGCACGTAAAATGCTATATAAACCCATGCATATTTGAAGTGTATTTTGTGTTTCTAACGTTTGAATCAGAGGTTTAACTTGTTCGGTAGTAAGATAAAATTTGCTGCCTTTGGACCACGATGAAACATATTTAAGTATACAAGGATGCCTATATAACATTAAATTCTGAAAAATAGTATACGATTATTGGCACAGACCTTATTCGAATAACTGAACCAGTGATTTAAAAAAGTATGTACTTTCAAGGATGTTGACTCATACATATACATACATTATGTATATTATGTGATATGTGTATATATATATATAATTATATATATATATATATATATATATATATATATTACGGTATATAAGGTAATCAATAAACTAATGTTAACCTTTGCAGCTTTCTCCAAAGGAGACGGATTTCCGAAATTTCCGCTATAATGCAAAGACGGTTCGCTGACAAATAAAGACACTACTTGAGTTCCATGTTCTTTGGAGCGAGCGGTGTAATGTGTCCAAAAATCTGTAATTTCTACAGATTTTTCTTCAATTTCTAGCCCGTTGAGGGCACTTATTTCATTCCCCATTAATTTTAATAATCCTCCAAACGGAAGAACTTTGCTGTTATCAAACAATAATTACATGTATAAAACTGTCGATGAATATTCGATTCTTAACGAGGAAAATGAAAAAAAAGATTGTTACTTATATGAAAATCATTGAAATTTGGTACTAGACCACAAAACATTAATCTCTTTAAATGGAATTGAATCGTTTCCAATGATTGTGTTACGATGTTATCTGTAACTGGATGTCACTAGTCCTCTAACAGATATTTCATCATTGTACATTTCTAGCATATGTAATATACACTTACACCGTATACAGCTAAGTACGTGTCATGCAAATTTCCGATGTTAGCGCCATCAACTCATTTTTCTACCGCAAGTCAACTTTTTCTATATGTATAGAATGTATCGAAAAGATTGCAACGATTTCGAAAATTTGATGCATTTCGAATGAGAAGACGTAGTAATTGGAAATTCATATTTTCAATAGAAAATATAAAGCAATGAAAAAATTCAAATTAACCGCTTTAATGCGTTATGTACTTATATGCACAGCGTGTTATGTACACATCAGAAATTATTTTATTAAATTTCAGGAGTAGTTGCAAAAATTAGTATAATCATTTAAAATAGATAAAATTATACATACTCGATGGTTGTAGGTCTGTCCTGTTCTCGAGTTCTTGTTATTACATTTCTATTCTTCGGCAGCTTTTAAAGCATCTGTCGCGGTACGTATTTTAATAGTATTTTTACAAGAAATAATCTAATAGTATAGTTTTACAACGTAAGACATAACATTTAATCTGACGTAAAATACACAACGATTTTATATATTACTAGAAATAATAATTATTATCATAGCATTCGCACATATATTTTTTATATTAATCACATGCGTACTCTTGTGCAAGCATCACACATGTTCTACATGTACGTCAGCTCTTTTAATGTGTATGTGAAGCACTTTCAAACTACACATAAATAATGATGTATCGAAAATATTTGTCAGCAACGAAACGATACACATTTATCTTATAATCAAACGTCAAAGTATGTTACAATTTTATACTGAATTATTAAATACTTCTACTTAGATAAAATATATTCAGAGACGAACCACTGTGTTTGCAATCAATTTAATTTAGTATATAATATATAGAAAACATATGCGCGCAAGTGATCCTATAGGCGATAAATGATCATATTCGAATCTTGACAATATCAAAGTTTCCAAGTAAATGTGACATCCTTCAGCTTTCCGTTTTTATAAAGTTAACCGTCGTATGTGCTCTTGTAAAAAGTTATGTTTAATTAATTACGAAGGGCAGTAACGGTAATAATAATGACAACAATATTTAAGTTACGCAGAATTTTGTACTCTATCATAACAGTAGAAAGGATGAGGAAAAAATATGATTGAGTGAAAAAAATGACAATGACAACGACGACAACGACGATGATGAGGACGACGACGACTGCAACAACGGCGGTGGCGATGACGATGGCGGCGGCGACGGCGACGGCGACGACGACAACGGCGACGACAATAACAACGAGAACGATTATCGTGTTAATAATCACATTTTGTTCAATAATGCTAGAATCACTAGGAAAAGACAAGTGATAAAATGTAACGAACTATTTGAAAGTAATATAAACGGGGAACATGTACGATTTAACATGAAACAGGTTCATTTAAAAAGTAAATATTGTACAAGTAGATACATAATTATGATGTACAAAAGAATATTATCATAAGCAGTAGTGTAATAATCAATAAAGACATTGTTGATAGTAGTATAAATAAATGTAAATTGTAATGACACTTAATACCTAAAACTCAGTGACAGTGGTTACAGTAACAGTAGTAGTAATAACAGTGACACTGTTCATTTATTCACTATTATCGTTATTAATTTTGCTAGAATATCTACTACTTACTCTTATTTAAACTGTCACTATACTACTACTACTACTACTACTACTACTACTACTACTACTACTACTACTACTACTACTACTACTACTACTACTACTATTACTACTACTACTACTACTATTACTAGTGCTACTACTACTAGTGCTGCTACTACTACACTACTACTACTACTACCACTACTACCACTACTACCACTACTACCACTACTACCACTACTACCACTACTACTACTATTGCTTCTATCGTTATTTATTTTATTAGCAGTTTTCGCAATTTTATAAATTATCACAATACCAACGCACAAGACAAAAAACAAACTACTAGTAAAATATATTTTTGAAACATATCTCCGTTTTTATTGTTAAAAATGTCGCTACTTTTCCCCCCGTAAAAATGACTTTCCAAATCATTTGAAATTAGTTAAAAAGATGCATGTGTTTGGGGCAGTATGTCAAAGGCACCATATCTCATTTTAATTGAAATTGTATGAGCATTACACGGAATAAATGTAACTAATTGAATAAATTTCGTTTTTGTGGGTAATTTTTAGAAATGACTAAAACTATTATTATTTCTTACAGCTCGCATTATCCTTTTGTATTTTGCATAATGTGCACTAATATCTGTATTTAAAGTCGAGGATAGTAAACGACAATAAAATTGGCAGCATATTCAATTTTTTGATTAGTCGTACTTCGATAATGTGTATTCATGCGTACAAAGTTCTAATTCAGTATCCCCTTAACCCAATAAAACTATTAAATATGAATTCTTATAAATACTACTTTCATTAGATTCTTAATTATAATAGTACTAATAGAAATAACAATGTTGTTACCGACGATGACGACGACGACGATAACGGAAACGGCAACGGCCATAATGACAGCGCCAGCGACAGCGACAATGCCGACGTCGTAGTCTATGACTGATGTAGCAATGATGATGATGATGACAATTGCAATGCTAACCGTAGAAATGACAATTATAATAATAGTAATCGTAGCAGCAGTATCACTAGCGCTAGCAACAGCAATAACAGTGGCAAAAATAGTAATAATAGCGACAGGAGCAGAAGCAGCAATAGCAACGGTAGTAGTAGCAGCAGCAGCAGCGGTGGTGTCGTAGTAGTGTTAGTGGTCGTGACGGAGGTGGTGTTGTAGTAGCAGTAGCAACATTAGTAATGAAAATGAAATAATAGTTATGATTATAAATAATAATTGTAGCACCGGCAATAGTAACGATAATAACAGGTATCATTTTATGCATTCCAGTATAGCAGTATATTAGAAATAATAATGATTAGAATAACGACGACGACGGCGACGGCGACGACGACGGCGACGACGACGACGACGACGACGACGACGACGACGACGACGACGATGACGATGACGATGACGATGACGATGACGACGAGGAGGATGATAACCACGACGATCGACGATCACGACGACGAGGAGGAGAATAATAATAAAAATGAAGTACAGTAATGGTGCTAATAATAATAATAGTAATATTAATAATGTTGGTGATCATGACGACAATAGTGGTGACATTGACGATGATTATATCATGCAGACGATTGACGACGTCGACGACAATCGCAAGTCTCTTTCTTATGTCTTGTACAACGAGACATTGCTGCAACTTAATGGAATATTACGCACGAAAAATCGAATGCATTTCATATTTTCCAAGCGATATGATATATCATTTATATTTTGAATTACTGATAATGCGTCCGAATGTGTCTAGGTCATGATAATATATTCAGTAACTATAAACAATTGTTGCACTATTTATTTTTCACAAGCTTCGTCATGACCGCACATTATATTAATAAACGATTAATGTACACGAACTTCTTACTTGTCACACTGTATTAGGGACAACGTCATGCAGATCTATACGACCATCGCATAGGTAATTTGAAATTCCGATATACATAAAACAGTCTTCTTTATCGACATTTGTTGTTCTTTTCTCCCATTTTAATGGTGCTCTAGAAAATGTAGCAACGGTCGTGCTATATCTTTGTCGAAATACAGTTTCCGAAAAATGGGCTTTTACATTATCGTATACCACAGACCGCCGTGTCGTGTCCACATACAGAAATACGAGAGTCTTGTGCACATTTATAACCTTCATATTCAATGTAATTAATTAGTAGGGTGATTGATTAACACCAAGAAGTGATACGTTGTGCGTACCAGTCCAACTATGTTGCATCTCTACCTTCCATTTCCAATCGAATCGAACGACGCGTTACAATTCCTTCCCTTTTTCCTTTTTCCTTTTTCCTTTTTCCTTTTTCCCTTTTCTTTTTTCCCTCTTTTCCTTTTTCTTTTTTTGTATTTTGCAGAATAACCTGTGGAAACTTTTCGTTCGGACAACAGTATGTCACAGTCTGCCCGTAATGTGTATCTCGATTCGGTTTATTTCCTCGAACTAACTCTCATCGAACGTTCATTGCAGCGTTATGTACTTAGTACGCACTACTTTCTCGAACAAAACGGAATGTTCGATAACGTGGTCTGTTCGTAGAATTTATGAAACGCAACTTCGTAATAATTCATTCGGAGAAGCGTTGACGTGTACAATGACGGTATTATCTATCATTCTTTTCTTTAATGCGCCAAGGTTAAGTAATGTTAACTAGATATATAGCCGAATATCGAATACGCTCCTAAGAGTTCGCGAGCTTCTTTAAAATGGCAAATACAATGTCATTCGGAGCATCGTCTTTTCCATGTACAAAAACAACTTAATCATTATAATTTACCTTTCGATTGACGTAATGTCGTTATTATACGATCGTAAACAGTATCTTTCAAATGGTAGAATGAACGGGCTTTTTCACATTCACTCATTTTGTTGGTTCACTTCTTCTTTATTGTCATTGTCCTGTTGATTGACGTTTCCTTTAGTGTTTCCTTGTTGAGCACCGGACCCATTATCGTTTATTTTATCATTGTGAGAATCCGTTTTCTCGGTTGTATCCATCTTTACGTTTCCTACGGAAGGGAAACGAGGAAACGGAGACATTAGTAATTCATTCTTTTCTACGAACACGATCCTCGATCTTTCGATTCTTAACCCTTTGCGATAACAAAATTCTCTTTCGTTCCTAATAAGCTAAAAGTAGTCTTTACCGCGTGTCTCTCGCTCGCGTCGTTATACGGCAAGGGATTAATCTTCGAACATCATGGAGAATATTACAATTACCGTGCTACGCCTCTCGCGCTAGCTCCGTCGCGGCCCTCGAGCTAAAAGCGTACAGGGTCGCCAAGCGGATATTCTCTCTCTCTCTCTCTCTCTCTCCTTTCCATCGGCGATGCATGGCCATTATTGGCGCGCAGCAACGACAAAGGACGGAAGCGAGGCCGAATACGATCGCGCGACGCGAGAGGCGTGTAGCACGGTTATAGGGTAAACGAACCTTGCGTCGAATAGTACTGTTGTTGCATTTTCATGTTGCGCTGTTGCTGTTGTTGCTGTTGATGCATATTCGGTCTGTGACGATTAATTTGTGTTTGCGGTGGCTGCTGTTGCTGCTGCTGCTGCTGCTGTTGTTGTTGCTGCTGCTGTTGCGACGGCATGCAATTGGGTTGCTGTTGAGTAGGATTGTTCGGGTTTGGGCCCGGTGTGAAAGGAACGACCGGTCTTTGAATAGGTGGCGGATATCGTTGTTGCGAAGGCTGAATACCAGCACGAGGTGGCATTCCCATACCACGTACATTTTGCTGTAAAACCTGCAATTTAGTTCACACTGATCTTGTGAGGAACCGCGCTTCCATTTTCATTCTCATGTTCATTTTCATTATATTTCATTAGAAATAGCCCAGTACTATTAAAAATAGAGATATCTAATAATTGTCTTCATCTCTTTAATACTATCGTTAAATTGAGTGATTGGTCAGTAGCGATTGAATGGTAATTGAGATAAACGTAAGAGCGATACATACGTAGTTATTGTAACTGCTTACCAAAGCAGATTGACTAACGCCTTGATACTGTTGATACTTGTGATGTTGCGTGGGACTCGGTTGAGGTTGTTGGGACGAAGATTGTTGTTTACAGTTTCTTGATTTGGGGGATGGTATTTGTGGCGCTACGATAGTAAAGAAATATTCGTT